GAGTTATTAAGAGTTTGGCAAAGAAGCCGCATATCGACTCCAGAACCAGAAAATCGGTTAAATGCACTAATGAAATTTCTTAGATCAGAAGCTGAAAATGAAGAGAGGATATCAATGGCCACGCGCGGTTTTGTAAACAGAAACACGACCGAGAGTAAAGCAAAGAAAGCGAGTGTCATTTCGGAAGAGGTAATACCTACGGCTTCGAGTCTGGTGGCCGGTAACACCAAAGAAATCTCATGTATATTTTGTAACGAAAGTCATGAAAGTTCGACATGTAATAAAGCCAAAAAGATGACATTAGAAGAAAGACAACGAGTAGTGAAAGAGAAAAACGTATGTTTTAGATGTCTGAAATTCGGTCACGGCTTTCGTAAATGTAAACTGAACAAAAAATGTGCATGGTGTGGCCGAAGACATATTTTGTTAATGTGTAGAGATGCTGCAACGCCCAGTACTTCTCAATTCAATCCTGAGCATCAACAAACTATGAAAACTGTTTCTAACATATCTGTTCATCAAAATGTTTTCCTTCAAACGTTCCGAGTTAATTTACAGTATAAAGGAAAAATGAAGACAGTACGAACATTAATAGACTCTGGCTCGCAGCACTCCTACATATTAAAGGAAGTAGCAGAATATATGCAGTACAAGTCACTTGGTAATACAATTATTCAACATGGACTTTTTGGAGGTTCTACGTCATTACCAGAGACTCATAATCAATATCGAATTTCCGTGCAAAATTTGACAATGTCATTCACTTGTGATATTGACGTTTTTGACAAACAGAAAATATGCAGTGACATTCCAGTAATAAATGATAAAATGTTGATTGAAAAATTGCACAATATGAATGTGTTTTTAACAGATATTGAACAAAACAATGAACCGATTAGTCTATTGATTGGAGCAGATATGTTGGGTAAGATATTGACTAATAACATGAAACAGTTAGATAATGGATTATGTGTGATTGAATCGAAGTTAGGGTGGACACTGATTGGTAAAAGGAACGATAATTTTCAGAGTAACGACACTACATTATCTGTGATTTCGCTTTTTATCCACGATGCTAATATATCAGATCTATGGAAATTGGATACATTGGGTATTATGGATCCCGCAGAGAAAAAGAGTAAAGTAGTGCATGTACAAGAGGTAAAAGAATTCTTTAAGATGACTATAAGTTTTAATAAAGACGGAAAGTACGAAGTATTCTTACCTTGGAAAGATAGTCACCCCCCATTACCCAGTAACAAAGAAATGGTATACAAACGATTACAGAAAGTAACAGCTAAGCTAAAATCTGAAAACTATTACGAGGTATATGGGAAAATATTCAGTGACTGGATGTCTGAAGGTATTATCGAAAAAGTACCTGACTGTGAGTATAACAATGTAAACTGTCATTATCTGCCGCATAAGCCCGTGATACGACTAAGCAGTAGCACAACACCAGTTCGCCCCGTATTCGATGCTTCAGCGCGTTGTTCTAATCATCCTTCTCTTAACCAATGTTTAGAAACTGGTCCTAATTTAATTGAACTTATTCCTAACATACTACTACGTTTTAGGGAGAAAGAAATAGGGGTAATTTCTGATATTAGAAAAGCATTTTTACAAATTAGCGTTTCTCGGAAAGACAGGGATGTGTTACGCTTTTTATGGTGGGATAATAATGATTCTAACAAATTACAGGTTTATCGACATTGTAGAGTCGTATTCGGATTGACTTGTAGCCCATTTCTGCTAGAGGCCACTATCGAACATCATTTGTTGTCTGTGTTAGATAGCACTGATTCTAATCATGATAAGGACATTATTGGTAAGTTACTCAAGTCTTTTTATGTGGACAACAGTGTGACGAGTGTGAGTTCGATAGATGAATTGAATAAATTTCGTGATAAAGCCATAGCAGTTATGTCGAAAGGTGGTATGGATTTACGCTGTTGGGAGTATTCCAGAGATGATAGTACCCATTACCAAGCTAATGTTTTAGGGTTAAAGTGGAATAAACAACGCGATACACTTTCTTTAGATAGTATACAATTAATTAACAGTCAGTCAAAAATTACAAGACGATTTATCTTGTCAGTGAGTCATAAAATTTTTGACATAATTGGTTTAGTGTGCCCTATTTTAGTAAAACCTAAGTTATTATTACGTGATTTGTGTAGTGATTACTGCGATTGGGATTCTGAGATTCCGGAAGCTCAGAAAGATGCATTCCTAAAGTGGTATTCTCAGATACATTTGATCAATAAAATCGAGATTCCAAGATGCCTTATAGGTAGTGAATGTAATAGAAAAGTTTCGTTTCACTTGTTTGTAGATGCGAGTCAGTACGCATACGCGGCTGTTGTATTTGTTCGAATAGAGACAGACTCGAAAGTGAATGTTAGATTTGTTCAGGCAAAATCCCGTGTAGCACCTAAGTCTAAAAGCATAACTATACCTCGTCTAGAGTTGCTCGCAGCGTCAATAGGTGCACGGCTAATACATACAATAATTTCAACCCTCGATAGTGACCGAGTATATGATATTTATTGTTGGAGTGATTCAGCAGTAGTATTGTCTTGGATTAAAAGAAATTGTCAGTGGGTGCGATTTGTTTGGAACAGAGTACAGGAAATTAAGCAGCTTACTAGTAGTGAACAGTGGCATTTTGTTCCTGGTAATATTAATCCTGCTGATTTACCTTCACGTGGTTGTGACACAGAATTTTTGGTACAATCTAAGTGGTGGGAAGGCCCTAAATGGCTACAAGACTCGAAAGATTCCTGGCAGTCTTGGTCTAGTCGTTATGATATTGACGAAAGTGAAGTCACAAGAGAATTGAAAAAGTCTAGCCAAGTTACTAGTAAGTGTATTGAAATGACAGGGTTTTGTTTAAATAATTATAAAAATTCAGATATAACTTGGTATACACGCTATTTTTCTAATTATAGTAGGATAGTTCGTATGGTGGCTTGGATTATGCGTTTTATAAATAATTGTAGATTAGGAAGTAATAGTCGAGTTAAAACCGATATAGGTGGTTTCGAGTATCAAAACGCCGAACTACGGTTATTGAGATTTTTTCAGCGTGACACTTTTGCCGGTTTAAATGATGCTAGACTAAAGAGTTTGAAGATTTTTGTAGATAGTGATGGGTTATATCGATTAGAAAGTCCGTTATATAATAAAAATGACAGTTATTCATTTCGTTGTCCTATAGTTTTAAGTTCAGAACATGTTCTTACAATTCGTTTAATTACGTTTGAACATAAAAGAAATTGTCATGCTGGTGTACAAACTCTTTTGAACATAATTAGAGAGAAGTACTGGATTTTGAAAGGAAGAAAAGCTGTAAGATCGGTAGTAGACAAGTGCACTGTCTGTAAGAGATTTAAAGCGAGAAGTTATGATGAATTGTCACCTGCCTTACCACAGAATAGAACTGACACAAACATGGGTGTATTTAGGATTATCGGTATTGATTATGCAGGGCCACTCTATTTAAAGGATAACAGGAAGGCTTGGATTTGCTTAATAACTTGTGCGGTTTACAGAGCAGTACACTTAGAATTAGTCTGTTCGCTCTCTGCTGAGGAATTTCTTCAAGCGTTTCGACGTTTTGTGGCGCGGAGAGGGACGCCCAAAGTCATTTACAGTGATAATGCAACAAATTTTACCTTGGCCAGTAAAATAATAAAGGCTGAATGGAAATTTAACCCTCCTAGTGCTGCATGGTGGGGAGGATTTTTCGAAAGATTAGTCGGAGTGGTCAAGAGTGTATTAAGGAAAACTTTAGGTACAGCCAGATTGGATTACATTCAATTAATGACTGTGTTGTGTGAATGCGAATCTATAGTCAATTCTCGGCCTATAACGTATGTGAATGATGATCCGAATGAACCAAGGCCTTTGACACCATCTATGTTTTTAATCGAGTCTTCTGAAGGTGATACTGGTACAATATCTGGTACAATATTGCTATCTGACGATATAGAATCTTGTGCTAAAGATTTAGGGAAACAGTATCGACATTTGAAAAAGATTCGTTCAGATTTAATTAGGAAATTTAGGGTCGAGTATTTGGGGTTTTTATCACGTCGAAAAAATAAGTTGTTCTCTAAAACAGAACCTAAAATTGGAGAAGTTGTACTTGTAGGCAACGATACAGATAAGCGTATTCAGTGGCCTCTAGCAGTTATAATGGAGCTGATACACGGTAGGGATGGCAAAATACGACTTGCTAAAGTACGTACTAAAAGAGGCATTTTAGTTAGACCGATTCAAAGATTATATCCATTGGAAGTTATTTATTAATGAGGCAGTTAATGATGGTGAGAGCATCTTCTCTAGTGGGAGGATGTCGAGAGAGGTTTTCTACTAAATACATTTTGTCTTTACTTTAAGGTGATGTTCTATGTCAAGTAGTTGATAGACTTTTGTATTGCTTTGTTTTTGTCTTTTCTCAATGGTTTTTCATGGTACAATACATTTTTTGTGGATTATAAGGTTTTTCATTCTTTTGATTCTCCAACGAAATCACAATGTGCATATTTATACAAACAATTCTGAAATACGTTTATACGTCATCGGCGCGGTTTATAAGGATTGATGAGCGTTTAGCCTGTGTGAATGTGATTTCATTATCAAAATCTATATGGTGATGAGGTTCTGATGGTTTAATAACAAAAAATTAATAATACCTTTATTTTATGTAGTCTTTATTAACAAAGCGCAATTAGCGTTGCCATTTATATTCATTTTAGAATCACATTGATCGAACTAGCTGTTTTAACTAGAATATTGTTTTGCACAGTATCACATAGTAAACATAACTCAAAAAAGCTATTTTGTAATGTGTAAGACTCTTGAAAAATATTTATCACCAATTCAGACGTTCGAGGCAAACCTCGGTAAGAGAAAAGTGAAATGCATGAATTAATTTACGCGACACATCACAGAGAACGTATCGTCATATCACCGATTTCAACAATATCACTCACCTGAACAGCATCCTCTAAGCACCTTCCCCAGGCGTCACTCCTGTCGACCAGGTTGTTCCATTTGTCTGCTAACTTGGCCACCTCCCGCCTGATGGAGCGGGCGAGCTCGCGGGCCTGCTCCTCCGCCGACCTGTAGCCTCTGGAGTCACCCTCGTTCTCACGACCTTGTGAATGAAACTTCTTCGTTAATATCTTCATCGTTATTTAAAGTCAGGAGCATGTCAGCAACAAACATCATTTAGATATAATTAAGTCCATTATTCGATATAATGTCAATCGGATGTCACTTAATGTAAAGGTCTGTTTACAATGACTGGTGCTGATTATACGCATACAAGCGACTAAAACATTTGACATGCAACGGCTGGAACAGAATCAAGTTGTTGACTACTTTTGTTTGTTTGTCCGAGAGTTGAATTATTAAACACGTGCAACCAATATCTGCTCTGCTCTTCATGCCGGTCTGTATAAACAGACCCTTAGTGATATCACGTCAAAGAACTAAATAATATAATAATACTTATGTAAATACAAACCGAATAATTTCGTTTACTTATAAACAGACGAAAGTAAATCAACATTATTATATTATCTACAGATAAATTAAACAAAATTTGTGTTAAAAAAATAATTGTGAGGATTCTCTCGTAGATAATAACATTATTTGAACAAATTAAAAATATTTATCTTTCAGTTAGACGGAGGTTTTACAAAGCAAAAGCGGAAGCAAAGCGTGCCATAGGAAGGCAATGCGTCGAAAAACGGCGGGAATTTAATAATTACGTCGTTACTTCCGCACGAGCAAGTTCCAGAACGTTCCAACACGATTTCCTGTTTGAAGGATCGTGTGTAATTAAATTGTGATGAATATTTACTTATAACAATATTAAGATTGCGGCAAAAAATATGAACAACAGGACTTATTACAATGGGAGTGGAGTCTGATTTATTATGCCGATATAGTTTGTTAAATTCAGTGAAACAAAAGTCACCAGATCTAATAACATACTTCTACAGTTTCTGGAAAAATTTACAATATATCATTAAGACGTGAACAAAAATATATTGAACTTATAGCAAACAGTAAGCGACAAAACAGAAGAGAGAATGACACAAAAGACCCCTACTCCAACTCTGCCATTTGTGGAGGCGGCCTATTTGGATTTACAGTTAAACCAAATACTAGTATTAAACGAATATAATGATTGTATATTTATTTAATTTTGGACGTTTCGGATCCCCTACAGATTTTATTCCATGTTCACTTAAGCTATGTGATCACGGAACCTGTAAAAAAGCGTTATATCCATTGTTGTTTTAACTAAGTTTGATGCTTGGTGCAACACTGTTATTAATTTAGGTTTAAGGGGCTATCCGGTTCCTTATGGAACTGTAGTCACTGCAAACTGTAAGATATTTTGTGCTTTGCCGCCCAAGTTATAGCATCTCTTTTAGCCTGGTGGTATCTAAGAAATCTAAACTATTTCTGGCGTTCAAAGCTCTCATATCATCTGGGCTGATTATGTGTCATCCCAGAAGTATTTTCCGTTTGTGAATTAGCGGTCCACATTCACACAGGAGATGTTTTGATGTTTCAGTTTCCAAGTCACATTATCTGCAAATATCAGTGTCAATTAATTTCATGTGAAATTGGTGTCTGTTTAATTTGCAGTGCTAAGTTAAGGCTCATACTCGTATGTTAGTTCTGCTTAGCTTCAAAAGTTCTGCAGTCAATTTCTGTGAATATCCTTCGATTTGAGCGTAATTCAATCCCGGCAGATAAGAGTATTTTTTTAATCACGCTGAATTTCGTCCTTTAAAATTTGCATCGCATGGTTCTTCGGCATGCCGCGGAAAGGTTCTGGGCCCTAACAACATTGTTGCGAGGGATCGATTGCAGTGTATGGGTGTTTAATACCATATCTCCACCGGTTCAAGACTAGGGACCCCCTAGATTGTAAATGCAAATCCGGTAGGAAGATGACGTACTATTAGTATCCCAGTATGTGAACATCAAACACAATTTACAGACGCATCTTAATACATTTCTTAAGTAATAAAATTTAGACAAAATAATGAAAAATTAGGAAGAAAGAAACGTACTGTTAAATAGAGATAGGGAGGAGTATTTAACGATCTGTGATATTAGATAAAAGTAGAGTATTAGAGAGTATGCAGTAAAATAGGTAGCAGCAAATAAAACTATGATAAAATAGTAAAGAAAAAAGGTAACAAAAAAGAATAGAAATGATCTGCAAATATTACTGTAACACAATCGTTAAATTAAAATATTAATGATTAAAAGAGCATACATTGAACCAGGTATACCGCAAAGTGGTTTCATCATCAACTCAAATATAAAAGTAATCGAAACCAGATTGGAAAGTGAATCGTTTGCAGCAAATCTTAATCAAGCGGATGGTGAAGTTTCAAAGGTTCTAGCGGAGGAATTAATTAAGATTCCTGTGGTTCAACTCGCCGATGTTCCCTTTGAATCTAAACAAGAATCCCTTTTGGTGAATCCGTGAGATTTCATAAATTTCTTTTTTTCAAAACGATAATGATGTCTGAAATTAAGTTAAAGTAATAAAGATTACCGTTCTGTTGTAAAGGAGATAAATTCATTATTATACTTTTAGTGTTCTCGAAAGTAAAGGTTAAGTTAGGATATTCCTTTATGGAACAAAATTGAATGATTCACAGTAGCTTAAAAATAAAATGTCCATTCATAGATAACAAAATTATCAAATTGGAACAATAGAGTTAGCTAATGAGAGACAATAAAATTAAAACTACTACGTTCCAAGGATAACAATAACAAAATCAATAAAGACAAAGAAGCAAATACAAGCTTGCCAGATTTATTCTTTGAAACTTTTTATGCTATACCAGAATTTACGTAACGATCTCCAAAGGCAGAGCAAGATAACTCGTGAATTTTTAACACGATTCACTTTTTATGTGACAGCAAATTTTTACAGCTGAGTGTGCAAATGTTTTGAAAATGTTATGTCCCTCGGGAGATTCGCCTATTTCACCCCAGTCGAAAAAGGTTATTAAAGCCGATAATTTGATTTTGGCGTCGTTTATCTCACTGATTATCAAATCATCTAGACGTTGTCCGAGTTACACAATATGTAAAATTTCCACAATTGATTTCGAACTCTAACCTTAATTGCGTTAAAAGGAAGTGAAGATTTTTTTATAAGCTGACGTGCTTATTGACTGTACCTCGTATGTTCATAAGTTTTGAGACAAACTTTTTACTGAAAAAATAAAATAAAATGTTACTGGCTGTTATTTATTTTTTTACCGATTTTTTTATTTGGAATGTTAATTTTTAGTTTATTTGTATCACAAATTTATTAATTTATATTTGCTCGTGATGGAGTGAACGAAAAAATTACGTAAAACTAACATTTCGCTATTTAAGACGGGAAAAAACGGCTGACAGGAAAACGTTTCAGGTTTTTCTGTCAGCCGTAACTTCATCTATTACACAATACAGCGGTACAAAGAGACAAGTTCTTTGCAAGATCGTCAAAGGAGTGGTTGGCCACGCTCTGTGAGGACGCCTGCGAACTTCAAAGTCATCGTAGAGCGACTTCGCCGAAATCCATGTATATTTCGCGCGTTTCAGTGAACAGAACATTGAAATATATACGAGGGTCAAACTGAAAGTTCTTAGAAAATCAAAAACTGATTACATTAGCCAGTTATTAGTTTTATTATATCTTTTCAAAATATTGTCCATTCACGTCAATACACCGCTGCATGCGATGGAACCACTGGGAAAAGCACTTTGCCCACTCGTCCTTAGGGGTCTCTTCAATGGCATCGCGATACGCAGCCACCGCTTCTTCAGCATTCATAAACCGCTTTCCTTTAAGTTTTTCTTTAATTTTTGGAAATAAATAAAAATCACAAGGCGCGAGGTCGGGGCTATACGGCGGGTGACCCAGTAATTCAACGTTTGATGTCGCCAAATAGTCGATCGTTCGCTTGGCGGTGTGCGACGAGGCGTTGTCGTGGTGAAGGAGGATCCTACTGCGAGGTCGTTTCTCTCGAACTTTTTCCAAGACAAGTGGCAAACAATTGGTAGTGTACCATTCTGCAGAAACTGTTTTTTGATCCTCTAACACAATTGTTGCAAAATGACCTATCCTTCCAAAGAACGAGGCCACCATTTTTTTTCCCGCACTTCGATCTCTCTTCACTTTAGTTGGCAACTCCTCGAAAGGAAACACCCACTGAGCAGATTGTCTTTTGGTTTTGGGATCATAACAGTAAATCCAGCTTTCGTCACCTGTTAGTATGTCGAACACAGCATTTGAGTCACCTCCGTTAAATCTTTCAATCATTTTACGACACCAATCCACACGATGGAGTTTTTGAGCCTCAGTCAAATTATGAGGTATCCACCGGGCGCAAAGCTTCCTGACCGCTAAATGTTCGTGGAGGATTTTGTGCACTTGACTCATACCGATGCCTAAGCTTGTCCGAATCTGTTGATAGGTCACTCTTTTGTCAGTCTCTATCATACGCCGCACAACACAGATGTTATCTTCAGTCGTCGCCGTAGAAGGCCGTCCCTCACGTAAATCATCAGTGAGATTAGTGCGACCACGTTTAAACTCATTAAACCAGTTGTAAACAGTCGCACGAGATGGGGCTTCATCGTGAAAGGCCAATCGTAGTCTATCATAACTTTCTTGTTGACTTAAATGACATCGAAAGTCATAAAAAATCATTGCACGAAAATTTTCTCGTGTTAAATTCATGATGACGTGACACAGACAATTTTCAATTTGCCGCCAAATCGTAAAACAAATGACAAATGAATGAAATATATACTCAGTAATATTGGCAAAGAGTTATATTTTCAAATTTTAGAATTATTTTTTTATTATATTGTTTATAAGTGGCCAGTTCTAAGAACTTTCAGTTTGACCCTCGTATATGATCTTAAGGTAAAGGCCTATAGCCGTAGAAAAGTTCACTTTTTAAACGATCGTCTGCGTAAGTTACTATGCGAACGTTGTCCATTGGTGCTGAGGAGACATGATGCCAGGAAGATACTCTTCACCGACGAGAAAATTTTTACTGTCGAAGAAAAGTTCAACCGACAAAACAATAAAGTATACGCTAAAAGTAGCAAGGATGTCCCAGCTTCTGCATGGAATGTCTCGCACACTCTTCATACCATCACACTAGCCGAATGAAGAGTGCGCGTTTCGTATGAAGGTATCACTCCGCTCCATTTTTGATAACAAGGTATTAAGGTGAAAGCCAAGAATTATCAGAGTGACATTTTAGCACCCGTGGTAAAACCCGATAGTTGAAATTGAGTTTTTCAGCAAGACTCGCCGCCATTCCATAAGGACAACAGAACCCAAGCTTGGTTGAGGGAGAAGGTGCCGGCCTTACGGCACTCAAACTTGGAGTCACTGAAGCGAACCCTTGTTCGAGAAGCAACGCGAATTCCGCTAGGAAAGATTCGTGCCGCCATTTTCGACTGGCCAAATCGTCTAAGGGCCTGTATTCAAAACTGTTTACTGAAAATTTTATTTCACTTTTATTTCGTCTCAAAACTTATGAACACACGAGGTATTTATTGTACGTACAAAAGCTTAGCACTTATATTATTATGCCCCTTGATACGCATGGTACTGTGGACAGATTTCAAGATATATTTATATTATTTTTATTAGCATCAAAAAATACAAAACAGTATTAATAATATAATTTTTGAAATCATGATAATTCTAGTTAATAAGAACAAGAAAACGCAAGGCCAAATATTATATAGTTTTATTTAATTTTTGCATTATAATGCCAAATTTTAATGACAATAAGTTATCTGATATTGTGAAATCAGTAAACAGTGAAACAATAATCCAACAATAACCCAGCCATAGAACGATATTCATTGATCGGAATATGATTGATGGCCACAAAGAGCATCGGATGCAATATGATCGCAATACAAAAGAGCCATGATGGCGTTCATTTACTAGATAATTGCGGAAATCGCAATCATGAAACATTAGGCTCATATATACATGTATAAAACAAAAAGTCACTTCTTCCTGTCCTCTAGATTTACTCCTCTACATCTAGATTATTTATAATACACACTGGAATTTAATGAGAACTTCATCGATATACAGAGTGAATCAGAAGGACAGTTTATATGTATAATACACGGATGAAGCCGCTAACGGAAACCTAGTTAGACATATAATAAAGTCTACAAGCTTATGCTTATATCATTAAAAAGTTTGCTAATTTTCTAAGGTTACTTATCCAAAGAGTAAAAAGGGACCCGAATAAAATTTTATCCTAAAAAAAAAGGTTTTATTACAATAAATCATAGAATGTTTAACAAGTATAACATAAAATTGCGAAGTTAAAAAGTATCAGAATAAAGGAGTAAATTAAAAAAGCGATGAACAGCTTGAGGGTAAGAAAGACCCATTCCTCTCCCAATATCTAAAATCATATGCTACATATAAAAATGCTTGTCTAATTATGTACTTCAGCCTCAATAAATATTTCATATGATATGGATACTTTAAAATTAAGTCTTTCATATAGAAGATTAACACACACTCTATTTTTTGTCAAATATTCATGTATTACGGAACATGTGAGCTGGATTTTAAGGTATTTAAATCTAGATTTCATTGAAAGAGCAAATACCGTCTATATTGCGTTCAGAATTGGTACATGGAATGCGCAAATTAATCAGGGCACCGTTGTGTGAAGGCAGGTAGCTCCCGCCCTGATTCCGCTGTAGGATTGCATATGTGAATAATTCGAATCACGCGGATTGATTATTAAAGTCCAGTTTAACAATTACCGGATTCAACAGTATTCAGATTTCGTTGCCATTGTATCTGCTTTTTGTTTTGTCTTCATGTTTCACTCTATTTATTTCTTAATTATTTATTTTTTAAGTAATTATCCTTTAAGTACTCACGATTGTTGTGAATTATTTTATATGTCCTTTCCACATGTACGAACCAACGGAGCATGTCCCTCTAGTTTTATATCGACTATCTTTAAACCTAATCTATTTTCTTATCGGTTTGTTTGGTTATGAACAAGAAGCTTAAACCCTATACATTTACAGTTTCTTGGTTATGAAAATTCTCATTATGGATGATACATACTTCTTTTGAACAAAATATTTCTTTAATGCATTCCGCTTGATCTTACTGATGTAATAAAATTAATTCTATTTTTTTTAATAATAAGTCAATCTCTTCATCATCATCATCATCATCATCATCATCATCATCATCATCATCATCAGCCCATACTCGTCCACTGCTGGACATAGGCCTCCCCAATTGCACGCCATCTACTTCGATTTTCGGCTGTTCGCATTCAGCTCTTGCCAGCCATCTTGCGCAAATCATCGCTCCACCGCGCCTGAGGACGTCCTACACTACGTTTGCCGAGACGCGGTCTCCACTCAAGAACTCGTTTACCCCAACGGTTATCGGTTCTGCGGCTAATATGGCCAGCCCACTGCCACTTCAGCTTGCTAATCCGGTGGGCTATGTCGATAACCTTGGTTCTCTGCCGGATCACCTCATTTTTGATTCGATCCCACAGAGAAACGCCGAGCATAGCCCTTTCCATAGCCCGCTGAGCGCAAGCTCTTCGCGTTTCTAATAAGTTTATAAAAAAATAGCCGCCTTTTTTTTTATTAAATTCTAAGTTTCAAATCATTACGGTTGCATTAGGACCTTTAAAAACTATTTAAAGGCGAACTTGTTGTTGATAGATCGTCTTGTGTACCTTCAGTGTCGCTGGTGTCCGACATAGGAGGTTCATTGGCGATGTGTTGCCGTCCGCTTAGTAGATTGCTCTCTACAACAGGCCTTTTGTCCTCCAATTGTCTTCTGAATGCGCGATGGTCATCCTGCAACAATATAAAAACATACACTAATTAATGAATTAAAAGTATTCATTTTGTTTCGTTTTAAAACTATAATTTAGAATTTCTAATATACAATTTATACATGTAGATATAATAAATAAACATTTTAGGTACGGAATCCTAATTACACATATCTTTATTAAAGAATCACAACACCTAGACTTATGATAATAGGTGCAGATAAAATAATTTTCATCGAGCCGGGAATCAAATCCAGGATATCATAGCTGGCGACACCTTGATCCAGCGTGCGAGCAGTTCGGTTAATTTTGTGTATCATTTTTTTTTTTATTCGGTCAATTATATGTTTAAGTATTTTATCAACTTTAATAATAAAAAATAAAGAACAACATAAAAGAAAACCATAAAAATTATAACTTTGAATACCATATACCGACAAAATATAAAACTATTAACTAACTTTAATATAAATATTTCGAACACACCGCACAATCTAGCGAAGCAGAAAATGTGCGTGCCATTTTGCGGTGTGAATATCGACAAAATGGCGAATGACATTCAACAAAATGGAGGCGCTATATGGTGATGGCGGTTAATTCATACTCAATTAGTCTTGGGGATACGATACAGATAATTTGCCTTTTCAGAAAGAGACGAGTGAGCGAATTTCACTTAATTGTTGGAAACGATGAAAACAAAACGTAAGATGTGAAATATAATTGATTCCGTAATAATGTTACGTATGAAATAAATGATTTGTGATCGTTAAATTATTGTTTTCGTGTCGAAAAATTTAAAGACACAAAATATTTTAATTCATACTTTTTTAGTTTTAGGAAACATTTTGATCTCTGAGGTTCACTTTTCCGTTTTGTTGGTTGTTTTAGATTTACCATAAAATAAGAGTTTTATCCACTAACGTATATTATTTTATACTTAACGTATACGAGGGTCAAACTGAAAGTTCTTAGAACTGGCCACTTATAAACAATATAATAAAAAAATAATTCTAAAATTTGAAAATATAACTCTTTGCCAATATTACTGAGTATATATTTCATTCATTTGTCATTTGTTTTACGATTTGGCGGCAAATTGAAAATTGTCTGTGTCACGTCATCATGAATTTAACACGAGAAAATTTTCATGCAATGATTTTTTATGACTTTCGATGTCATTTAAGTCAACAAGAAAGTTATGATAGACTACGATTGGCCTTTCACGATGAAGCCCCATCTCGTGCGACTGTTTACAACTGGTTTAATGAGTTTAAACGTGGTCGCACTAATCTCACTGATGATTTACGTGAGGGACGGCCTTCTACGGCGACGACTGAAGATAACATCTGTGTTGTGCGGCGTATGATAGAGACTGACAAAAGAGTGACCTATCAACAGATTCGGACAAGCTTAGGCATCGGTATGAGTCAAGTGCACAAAATCCTCCACGAACATTTAGCGGTCAGGAAGCTTTGCGCCCGGTGGATACCTCATAATTTGACTGAGGCTCAAAAACTCCATCGTGTGGATTGGTGTCGTAAAATGATTGAAAGATTTAACGGAGGTGACTCAAATGCTGTGTTCGACATACTAACAGGTGACGAAAGCTGGATTTACTGTTATGATCCTAAAACCAAAAGACAATCTGCTCAGTGGGTGTTTCCTTTCGAGGAGTTGCCAACTAAAGTGAAGAGAGATCGAAGTGCGGGAAAAAAAATGGTGGCCTCGTTCTTTGGAAGGATAGGTCATTTTGCAACAATTGTGTTAGAGGATCAAAAAACAGTTTCTGCAGAATGGTACACTACCAATTGTTTGCCACTTGTCTTGGAAAAAGTTCGAGAGAAACGACCTCGCAGTAGGATCCTCCTTCACCACGACAACGCCTCGTCGCACACCGCCAAGCGAACGATCGACTATTTGGCGACATCAAACGTTGAATTACTGGGTCACCCGCCGTATAGTCCCGACCTCGCGCCTTGTGATTTTTATTTATTTCCAAAAATTAAAGAAAAACTTAAAGGAAAGCGGTTTATGAATGCTGAAGAAGCGGTGGCTGCGTATCGCGATGCCATTGAAGAGACCCCTAAGGACGAGTGGGCAAAGTGCTTTTCCCAGTGGTTCCATCGCATGCAGCGGTGTATTGACGTGAATGGACAATATTTTGAAAAGATATAATAAAACTAATAACTGGCTAATGTAATCAGTTTTTGATTTTCTAAGAACTTTCAGTTTGACCCTCGTATAATAATTGTAATATACTTTATTTATATTACAATTATTTTACCCCCGAATGACCTTGAAGATGTTTTTACTCTTTTTTCATCTATCTGAGGTTCACTTTTCTGTTTTGTTGGTTGTTTTAGATTTACCGTAAAATAACAGTTTTATCTACTTCACGTATATTAATTTTATCTTTGCTGGCTATATTTTTTTATATTACAATTATTTTTTCCCCGAATGACCTCGAAGATGTTTTTACTCTTTTTTCATCTATTAGACAGTGTTAGTAAAAAAAAACTGATTTTTTAAACGTAGCACTGGCTTTTATCTCTAAGCCTAAATCGAATGGCTCACGCATCGTTCATTAAATTATAACTTGCTAGCGGTCTACTGACCGTTCACACAAAATTAATTCTGGCATAATTGAAAACAGACTATTCTGAATGTGATAAACTATAATAGATAAGTATTAATTAGATCACAAATAAATTAATATTAGATCATATAATATACATTTTTCAAATTACCAACTAGAGGGCTAGTCCTCGTATTAATAAAAATGTGAACAAATTAAGGTACTAAATTTCTTAGACTATAGATATAAAGAAAAGTATATTTTATGTGTTCACTCGACCGGTGATGGAAATCGCAACCCAAGTGGTGACAAATTGAAATTAGTCTTCTAGCCACTCCATCAAGGAATTTAACATAATATATTTGATCGTTATGGGGATGTCTTTCATAAAAAAAAAACAAAAAAGTAATAATCATGAAGCATGCCTACCTATGCTTCATGATTATTACTTTTTTGTTTTTTAATATTTATTTTTAATTTTGCATCCCCGCTCTCCACCTAGCGGCAGGACATTATTCTACTATATATCATTCATACCAGATGTCGCTTGTGCTTCCATACTTCCATTCCGCATACTAAACATTTATTCATCATCTTTTATATTTTTGCGGATGGGATTCTCGCCTATTTGTTTCCTATTATTTTCTTTAGTCATTAATGGGGTAAGAAGAGGTTATATTGCGTTATATTGCTAAATACTTACTTGTTGCTTCAACAACGCGGACAGATCACCTCTGGGTGGCGCCAATGCATTCAGTTCCGTCTCCTTGCGGATCACCCATTCGGTCAACTCACGCAAGGAGAGGAGTAGCGCTGACCAGTGTTCCGCGTTGCTCTCCAGACGATTCCTGTAAGTCATTCAATATTCATTATAATATTTATAGTTGTAGGTATATAGGTTGAAACCTTCTCTCAAGTGCTGGGTTAAGAGATTGTACCAGGGAATCTCGCTCCACCTTATCAGTAAAGTAAATCTGAATTAATATACAATTAAATATTGTGTAACAACAAATTAAAAACATTAAAGATTTGTTAGGATGTGTGTTCTCACATCTGTATGCGAACATGTGTACTTGTATCTCTCTCCCTCTCTCTTTCTAAGCATTTGCGCGTATGACTTGCTATAAAATTATGTAGTTCTACATACGTACAATCACTTCTAGCTTGAAAATGTAATTCATTTCAGTGAAACTGAATATGGTAATTCTGTTACCGTTTACCTACTCACTGGATGTGTTTAGCGTATTGAGTAACATAGTTGGATTATACGTAACGGTGCACTAAGGAAAAGAAATTTCGTATAGGACATAGTAAACATGGTTTGGTTAGGTTAGAACTGTGACCAGAGATCCTCATTGCCCCGTTTCGTATGTACACACCAACCATTGTAGTCATTCTGATTGCTATTAATATTTCATTAGCATTATGTGAATGCGAAAGTTAAGCTTAAAGTATATTCATGGTTTCCGAATATTTTTTACCGACTTAATTCTCACATTGTGCAAACATCGTTTATTTGTGCATAAATTACAGATGCTTGATATTTTCTTGTATATTTTAACTATGAAACTAGTATTTCTTTAAATTTTTTTGCTTATTAATATTTTAAAGTACTCGAAACCAATCACGTCTAATAGACTAACAAATACGTCTAAGTGCAAAAATTTGGTACATAAACTTACTTAGCCTACTCAGAACGAAATCATGAATCATTTAATTAAAATTATATAATCATTATAATACAAAGATAATATTGGTTAAATTTTTATTGTACAAAGGACATAGAGGAGCCTTATTTAGTAGTACAATGGCCTACCTTATCGTTTAAAATATAGCTAGGTAATCTGAACGGCTTGGGTTGACTACAACAAGAGATAAACAGTGAATGACCTTTACTATAACAGAAATTTTATGGAATAAAGAAAAAAGTACAAAAGTAAGCAGAGAATTTCATTATTCGCCAATCCCTCATCGGCTCTTGAACAATAAAAGCTACAAAATTAACATTTGTATTCATAACGTCAGAATTTATTAAGCAGTAGCCAGAACCCAGTGTATCTGCAATTAAATCAGAGGCTGGAGAGTGCTTTCCTCGCGACGATAATTCAAAAACTTGGCTCCGACGAGAAGTAAGTACTATTGTTGAAATTTTGGCCACAGTTCTTCACACTAATACGAATAAGCAGTGAATTAAGATTGAAACAGTGTTGCGCTTTAGTTTCAGATATGTTATCGACGTACAATCATCACCCATAACTATGGGACCTTGGTCAGCGCAAAAATTTTACTTTTTAATTAAATCATCAGTCATTTGGGGCAAAGCCTCAAGTACATGTTTGTGTTGTCCTCGGTGCTTTAAGTGAGAGCTTTAAAGATGTATGTAAGTTTTATGAATATTCTTCCTCTACATTAAGAGTCGGGGCAAAAGTCGTGTGCCAATCACTGAATTGGGTCGATCGAGGTATGCCACCATTTCTTGATTTGGCCGTCATATCGTCTAATGCTTAAATTTTGTAAGGTGATCAAAGTACTATATGATCAGAGATGGGTAACAACATGGGCTTCCTCCTACCGCCCTCTGAATATAACAAATAAAGTGAACTTTAAATAATAATTATATGACTGTTTACAACTTCACTTCACTTCACCAGCCCTTTTACGTCCCCACTGCAGGGGCTCAGGCCTTCCTTATGGATGGTTAAGGAGGATGGGCCATGACCCTCCACGCTGGCCCAATGCGGATTGGAGGGTATTAACGACTGCAAATGCAGCCGGGACCAACGGCTTAACGTGCCTTCCGAAGCACGGAGTAGCTCGAGATAATAATTTTTTGGTCACCCTTGCGAAAGTTATCCACTACGCCACCGAGCTACTGTTTACAAGGGCTGTAATAATTGTTTTTAGTATGATTATTAAGAAGTGCTCAGCGTTTAAAAATTATCTTACATTTCAATATAATATATTTTTATGTCCATAGAATCACATATTATTTAATTATAATATTTTCACAGCTCACTAAATACACAGCGGATAGCGTTACAGCGCCAATAGCGACGCGAAATGGAACTATACAACGATGCGCCCAGCCATATCTCGATGACTAGTTGGGCAAATCGATAAATACTTTTCTATCGTTTGTCTCATAAACTTTTAAATGGCGGCATATTGTGATATGCCCGGGAAAACCTCGATCAGTCCAATTCAACTATTGGCCTACGACACATACACAACATTATGATGCTCATTTAGCGCGTTCAGTTTGCTATGCGAAAGTCAAGTAATTTTTGCAAAGGCTGGATGACCATACTATGAAGTATGGGTTACCAAAAACTTGTTATCACGAGCACCTCAGCGTTTCAGAAGGCACGTTTTTTTTTTTTTTTTTTTTTTTGTGCCCGGCCTTACAGTCTAATACCGGGCGTTCCTACTTGTCCCCACTTTATAGCAGGCCCCAGAAGGCACGTTGTCTTTAATCTACACTGCATCTACAGTTGTAAGCACCCAATTAGATTCTATCCATAAGGAAAGCCTGCGCTAGAGCAATGGGAATATTAATTGGCTCATTATCATGATGATATTAAGTATTTTCATATGTCATGGAAATAATTCCAATATTCTTAAATGCGAAAGGGATTATTATAAATGATTCTTTAAAACAACACCAGTTTAACTTAACCAGCACAACTTTAAAGCAACAAAAACTATTAAATCGGTACATTTCATTGAGAACTTCAACACAGTTTCTTTTCATTTATTCCTTTTCCATCGACATCTCAATGTAACTAACGAATAACACCTCTAGAACGAATTTAGCAAAATCTCAAGCTCCCGTTTGAGTAAATTGCACAGAGTTTTACAGTTTCTCATTTTATTTCATACTGCTTATTTTTAATTTACCATGGATTCGAACTTAAAATTCTTGTATCTTACAATTTCATTTAAGAAACGGCGACAGTGACAATGTCCTCTTGCCGACTTCACTCGATTTTTTTATGCGATGGTTGCTTTTTAGAATCCCAAACATTGATTATATTTTTTTCTTTCTTATATCCTACTTTAACTGACAGCTGCAGTGTTTTTGAAACAATAAAACAATGACCGACTTATAAAAGCGAGGAACAGAAACTGTTAGCGCGGCGCACTCGGATATCATCGATCTGTGTAAATACGCCATACAGTGGAAGCAGTCATATTTTTAATATATATGACAAAAATAGATTGGCAATAATTTTTGCTGTATTTCCATATTTGTACGAGCAGCATGCTTACTTAGAAGCGAAAAAGAAAAATATAATGTTTCAGCAGATGCTCAATTTGCAAGAAAACTCTTAAGAATCGGTACATTTCTGACGGATAATGCGTGAGTCACATCACGTGCGGAAAATTAAAAGTTACAATCTATATCTTCACGCTGTATCAATTGCAGGGCAACCGAGTGCCATAAGGCACAGTCCTTACATATATCTTTCACCTCCATTTTCATTACTCTTTTCTCGCTCACCGGTTTTTATGGCTGATACGATACACCTTCTTAAAGCACGCAATTTATTTAATTGCGAAAGATGTGTCGTGGCTTCCTTCGGATTCTATCTTTCTACTTTCGCCTCGTGTATCAGCTATATTATTTTATCGTCTAGCATTCTTTTTATATGTCTGAACCAATGGAGCGTGTTCGCTTTCTTTGAGATCAACTCTGTTTCTTATCTCTTTATTACTAATGCGATTAACTGACAAATTATATGATTTGCCGTTCAACCCTACATAGATGAGAAAAATTCACACTAGCGCATACTTCCGTTAAACATTTTACAGATCTTCCACCAGCTTTGCATCGACATCTAAGGTGAATGTAGTCTGGCGACTAATTCATATTTTAGCGACGAATGATAATTGCTTCATTTTTTGGCCAATCTATAAATATGTATAATAAAAACATATTCGTCTAAATCGGTTAACAAAATACGTGAACGATGATAAAGGTCTCATAAATTCTGCAAATATTCTATGCGATGTTACATCAAAGGACAAAGGACGACCACATAAGCACATTCCACACGACCCGAGAGACCGCAGCAGATTAACCAGTAAAATGTATATTTACACGACAAAAATACAAGTTAAGAGCATGCGATTTATATTCAGAAAGTTGAGTTTCCAGGTTGAATAGGTGTGTTTCCATTTATAGATAAAATTAATTTGGTATTTCATTTTTCCTATATATCTATTAGAAATCTTTATGATTGTAACAATAGAGATCTGTATATTAATATGTTCATAATCATCATCTCCAGCTTAGTAAGTGTGCTATTAATGTGTTGGGCCTCCAGCCGTTTGAAAAGTATCTAATCGAATAGGAAGAATGGACCATGACTCGCCACACGGGCCTAGTGTACATTGGTGAACGTAAACGGTTACTGATACTACAGAGACCAAGGCACTTTAACCTTTCAAAGCGCGGAGGAGTTCGATATAATACATTTTTGATCACCTACCCTATGTCCAGCTCTTGCGAAAGTTGCTAAACAACATTATCACAGGCCAAGTGCGCTTAACACTGCGCCATCAAGCTCCAAAAGTTTGAGGTTAGTTATGATAATTTATAAGATAGGAGGATTAATAATTGATAAGATTATATATTTTTATAGTGGCAATTATTGAGCAAGAAAACACTTTAAGGTTTAAGAAAGATTTTTTCTATTAATTATCTGGATATTAAAAATATTGAGCAAATAAACAACGATCATATTGCCACTCAACATCAAAGGGCAAACAAAAGCAAAACTATGAACGAGTATTCCACATGAAACGAGACTCCTCAATAACTCAAACATACATGTGCTAATACGAA